CTAAACAGATATTTTTGAGGCCCCAGGGTGCACACATTAAAGTGCCTTAGCTATAACGCTGACTAAACATACATACCTTACAGTACAGGACTACCCTTTCAGCTTTTAATAAAACAAAATAAAGTCATGCAATATTGGTCTTATAGCTATGTTATTTAATGTTTAAAATATGACAAGGTGCGGTTAATAGACATTTTAGTGATACAATAGTATATATTAGTAATAAAATCTGTACAAGTATACTTTGAGAGGTTCTTATACTGATAAAGTTAATCCATTGACTGTCCAGCACAGAGGCTCCATTTAAGTGACTGTATAGTAACTACAGGGTGGGACTTCTTATACAGTTAAATATCAGCACTTCTCACAGTATATATACAAATATGGTTACTGTGTACACACACTTACATACATACAAACACACCCTGTATGGCTGGGACATCCCTAAGTATAATAACCATATGCCTGGCCACCAAGGTGCTAGGCACACACAATGTATTACAAACACAAGATATTTATCAGTACAGAGAAAGAAGGCACTTAAGATATCTCAGTGGGAATATCACTACCTAGGGACACAGGTCATTCATAGAATTGAAATAGTTTTCCACTTAGCAATGCATGATCTTAGTGCAGAGATTCCTGTGGGAATTTTTTATGTCATCAATGATCATTAATTAATACATTCCAGTCCATGATGTAAAATTCTGACCCGACAAGTATGAGAATGAAGCCAGGCTGATGGCAAATGCTGTATATTAAATTTAGATTTAAAGTTTTCTCAAAATACATTTGAAATTGGCTATCAGAAACCCAATAGCACTTCTTTAATTATTAACTTTACAAACTTGATGTTTAATTTCTTAAAATAATGACAACAAAATCAACTTCAGGTGTGATGTATTNAAGTGACTGTATAGTAACTACAGGGTGGGACTTCTTATACAGTTAAATATCAGCACTTCTCACAGTATATATACAAATATGGTTACTGTGTACACACACTTACATACATACAAACACACCCTGTATGGCTGGGACATCCCTAAGTATAATAACCATATGCCTGGCCACCAAGGTGCTAGGCACACACAATGTATTACAAACACAAGATATTTATCAGTACAGAGAAAGAAGGCACTTAAGATATCTCAGTGGGAATATCACTACCTAGGGACACAGGTCATTCATAGAATTGAAATAGTTTTCCACTTAGCAATGCATGATCTTAGTGCAGAGATTCCTGTGGGAATTTTTTATGTCATCAATGATCATTAATTAATACATTCCAGTCCATGATGTAAAATTCTGACCTGACAAATATGAGAATGAAGCCAGGCTGATGGCAAATGCTGTATATTAAATTTAGATTTAAAGTTTTCTCAAAATACATTTGAAATTGGCTATCAGAAACCCAATAGCACTTCTTTAATTATTAACTTTACAAACTTGATGTTTAATTTCTTAAAATAATGACAACAAAATCAACTTCAGGTGTGATGTATTTTGTCAGTTTTATGCTTAAATATCACTGAAAATAAGTCAGATCTTACTGCTAAGATGATTTTTCTATGTCTATATAGTGATAAATGGAAATTAATTCATGCTGATTACGACCGATCTTCAGAACAAAATGTATAAGAATATGTGCAGAAGGATGTACTAGAAAGGTACCTGTGAGCATATTTTTTAACATGATGATAATGTGTTAATATCACACAAATGTCAATAACTCCAATTTGTGTTTTGTTATTACATAGTAGGAAGGACAGCTGAGACAAAGTTTTAGAAAGGTTGTCATCGGACATACAAAATGAACCCAAATACATTATCGGGGGCTGGAACGATAAAAATCTAACACATCTTTACTCTTGCACAAATAAAATTTCACAATCAACTTAAAGGTCACCTTAAATAAATGTTTCCAAAACAGAGTCCAAAAAACCAAACTCACCGTTGCCGCTATGAGGGGTGTGCATCTCAAACCCTATGGGTGGAGGGGCCGTGCCCTCACCAGGAGGATAGCCCGACATCCTGTCTGCCTGCACACTATTTTGTGGATAACCTGGTTGTACGCGGTTGTTCATGTACCCACAACTAACCTGCCTCAGAACATAGTAATAAGATTTAGTGACCGCTTGGGTGTTGATATATACTCTCTAAACCCGATAAGTCTTCAACTCTTTCAAAGTTGATGATGGTTGCATATATATGATAAAAACTAAACCTCAGCCACGTCAGAAATGTTACGGACGTTATGTCATATTTCGGTATGAATACACACGGTTCTTTAATCAAATATCAAGCCTTCATTGGGTTAGAGAGTATGGGTGTGGTATTTCAGCACTAGATGGCGACACGTTTCGTTTCAATATTTACTTTCTATTTAACCAAGGAGTTATAACTCTGTTATAACTCCTTGATTTAACGATAGGCAAATTATAACATATAGGCTGCAAAGTTCTTTCTTTCTTTAATTCTTTCTTTCTTTCGTTTATTTCTACAAACAGAAGACATTTGGGTCATATCTTGGGATAACCAAAAAAGGAGGGGTGCTGTTTCACACATTGTAACTTAAAATATGTTCTTGAAATTGTAAATGAGGGAACAAACACTTTTAGTCAGTACTACTAGCACATTGCATGTATAACCAGAAAACTTTTGTTTAATCTATTCCAAAAATCACGCTATTTACTCGTTTTGCTATCAAAAGGTCGCTTTATTATAATGCTATTATGGCCCAGATTGTAAATATAAATGTTAGCGGGAGAAACAACGCGTGGGTTTTTTTTTTAATAAATTTATTCTTTGGAAATAAAAATAAGGCTTCCAGCGATAGAAACAGAATAATAACAAATAATCCCCGCTCACGGAACATCAAACAACGCCGAGAGCGTCACGGCCTCCACGCGTGAGCAACGTCATCGCACACGACGTCGTCAGTGGCGACGACGTGTAACACAGGGTACATATAGACCTATAGTGATTTCACTGTCAATGAATATATCTATTGCTGTACAGTAGGACCTTATAATTTCAGATGTGTTGTATATTGTTATTAGAACTGTATGGCTGGCGAAATCTGCGTTTCGTGATAGCTGTCATGAAATAAAGCGTCCGGCTAAATACAAGTTCCGCAAAAGCTCTCTGTCATGGGGCAATTTCTGGTACATGACACCGGCTTGTGCGCCGTAGACATCGATTGGCGGTCGTCCCTCTCTCTCGTCGTAACACCCTTACCAGCTTCCACGGTTCTCTGGTCGCGGTAACTCTCGTTTCTTTCGCAAAAACGATTCTGGTTTCTCAGGAATTGTTTTTGAAAATCGACACTACCGGTAGGTACTACATGTAGTTGCCAGGTTCGTTTTTGAAAAACGAAACTGGAAACTAGACAATAGACACTAACTTCAAGTATCAAATTGTCGATTAACCCTGTAGGCCTTCCTATATGTAAGCAGAACCAAGGCAATATGATTTCACGTAATATCTACACACACTGAATGGGGAAGTTTGAGAACGTAGCAAAGCGGTGCATCGTGAATATATAAAGATAAAAAGGGCATTTTAGACGGTTTAGACGGGTTTAGAAAGAGTTTAAACGGTCGAAAATGGATGTGTAAAAAAGAAGTTGAGGCACGACGTCGCGCGTAGAATGAACACATCGCTAACTATATCTATTCTCTGAAATTTCCCACTGGGTTTCGAGATTTTTGAACTATTTTCAACACGCACCTATACCAGGATGCTGGCTGCTGGATCCACCCATGATCTATATTTCAACGGAAAGGCCCGAAAGAACCCGATGGGACCGGACTCAGATTCTATCCCATAATATCAAATTGATTTCTGTTGCATCACTGGTGTTGCATATTCTGAAGTGGATAACTGTTCACAACAGGGGTTAGTATAGCGCGTTTATGAATGTCGGTTGGCTGTTTACTGTTTTCTAAGGCATAAGAGGCAAATTATCGACACAAAATATCCGATGAAACGGGCTTTGAACGCGCTTTCGATAATCTAAATACTATATAATGTTATTGCCCAGTAACAATACTGCAAAGTGCAAAAGAATTATTCCTAAGCTTTAGTTTGTACGAATGCTTATCTTTCGTGGAATATCTAAACTTACTTCTTTTTCCCCCCATACTGGACCTCGGGTTGCTCTTATGGGACACTCCCTTGGCTGCGACCATCTGTATGCACCCTGAAAACGATACACATACTGTCGATGCGGAGTGATATAACGTCGTTTTCTCGCGCCAGGACGTAACGTCGGGCTCAAATTTTGTGAAAATTTTAATTGTTGGTCGAAGAATAGCTAAATACTCTAAATAAATGCATACTTAGCAAGTCTAATACGATATTATGATTGTGGGGCATGTAGACTTCATATTCATGTACACTTATATTGAAATTGTGTCGTTTAGAGCGAGCTTGCGTTCGTCAAAGTCGCACTGAGCGGTAAAATTTGACCTTGGCAACATCGTAAGTTTGGCCACTATTCCTCAACTAGAGAGTGTGTGGAAAATTCCGGATAAGTGATAACGTATCTTTTAATCAATGTTGTATGTATAAAAAATTATTTAAATCCATCTTTGGAAACAAATGTTACAGTATTTTTTGTACCAAAAATCATGCAAAATTCAGGTTTTTGCGTCATCCATGACCTAAGATGGGCCCAACTCGACGTTTGTTTACATTTGCAGAAGTATTTTATTTTGGCAATTATCACCGGTTATTTTTGGATATTATTGCAGTTTTCAATCGATAGTCAAACAATGCGTGTCAGTTTTATATCTAATTTGTAAATTTGATATTGTTGCACCTTCTTAATTTCTATGCACTACTACCGGTGCATGTACATTGCATATGTTTCAGTGTTACTTATGAAATTATTTTGGTAAATGAACATTTCTGAATCCAAAAATTAAGTTTAAAACAAAGCCCATCAAGTTGTTTTTCTTTATTTTGTATAGACAAATTCATCGGTTCTTAAATAAATATTTTGAAGGGTTAACAACTGTTTGTATGAGATTCACATTTAAGCATAAATACTAGTAGTGTAAAGCACCCATAGGAATACAATATATATTATTCCATTTTACCACCAAAATGGTAGTTTTCACAATTACTTTGGAAACTGTGCTTGCACAGGAAGTCCATATGCATGGGTGCTAGTAAGAATACACAAAGTATTTAGTTATACAAAGTGTGTAAAAATGTAAAAAATATATAAATAAAAACAAAAAATATTTCCAAAATTAATATAAAATTTTCACTTTCATTGCACTAGGTTGAACTTAATGACTTTCCTTTTTTCGCTGAAGAAATTTTCATACACGTTCCATCTTCAAATGCATTATCTCAAAATACATTAGCTATCCTTTTAAGACTTAAAATACATGTAAGAGAAAAATATGCTGATCACAAAGGACAATTTATGTCTTTATTCAAAACAGTTCCATATGCTTGTATTTGATATCTGATATTAAAATATGGGAATATGCAACTTGCTTCCGAAAAGGGCTCTACCTGTACTAGTGAACACCAGGCATTATATATTGGGTATAAATGGATGTGGACTGTAAATATATTCAAAATACCTCTTTTACTTTTCTGACATTTTTTTTCTTTTTAAATTCTCGTTTGAATGTGAAAAGCAGTCTGGCTCCTGGGAGTCCAATTAGAAAAAATGTCTTCATAATAACACTTGTTTGCAACACTGCCATCCAATTATCTTAAAGAAATACCATAGGAGTCATATTTCTTTTAAAAAAATTCAATATTTATGTTTCAAAAAGTATAAGTGCTGCCAAAGAATACTTTTATAACCATTTTTCACTAAGGGCTTGGTGACAGTTTTTTTTAATATAACTAATAGGAATGCATGATAATGATGCAGCATATCATCGTGATCACTTTTCAGGGCACTTCAAACCCTGGCAGATATTCTGTAATATCTGAAAAAATGTTCTTCTTTTATCTGAAAAAGAAAATAAGAATAAATTCAAAATTTACAATTCCATGCAACTAAAAATAAAAACAATCTGTTTTCACCCATTTTCAATATATAGGTCAATTTTACATAAAAAAAAATTGACTAACAATGAGCGAGGGACGGAAGATATGTCCAAGTGGTACTTAACTAACACAAGTCTAGGAACTCACATAATAAAATAATAATTACTGGCTTTATCTTTTTTCACTCAGAAAACATAAATGGATTTTATTTTAAATCTTTATTACTGTTGATCTTAGAACCATAAACATTCTACAATAGATCATGGACCTAATAGGTCCATGAATAGATCTACTTAAGAATTCATTTTAACTAAAGTAAAAAATCTACAACTTCAACAGTAAGCAAATATGGTGTATAAATGTCTCAACTTTCATTTTCATACCTTCACTAGCAAGTCATGTATTAAAAATTTTTCAGTGATTTATAAAATAAACCCTACACTTTCAAATGGACCTTTATACTGAAAATGAGTGTTAAATGATCATGAAAAAAGCTCATATTACATAAATACTTCTACCATTCTATATCCAAACATCTTTTTCCTTACATCAATGTTAGAAAGTTTTTAATTTTTTATCAGCCTAAAAAAGAAATGTTAAATCTTGCCAAATACTCCCCTGACCTATTGCTAATTATTACAAATAAAAGGTGATGTATTCATAATTCAATTAATATATACAACTGTCAAGCACATTATGTATGCTTCACATGACAAGTGCTTGCAATGCTACGTTATACTGTACAGTACGTAAACTGTACGTGCTAATGAAAGCACATGCCGTAATGTAATATCAGTATTATTCTAAATAACACTAGATCAAAAGTTAATCTTAAAATTGAACTGTAGTCGGAGTTAAATTACTCTGAATGAGCCTGCGTCGGTCACACGGTGCACATTTTAACAACAAATCTACAAGGTACAATATATAACAAATGTGTTTGATTATGTACAGTACGTAGTGGAGCGAAACTAGCACATTTCTCGTTATAAAAAGCATTTATATATATTTTACAATCTAAATAATTTGCATACGTACCTGATAATGAGTCTCTGACATGCTATAAATATGTGGGTTCCATATATCAGTAAGGATAAAAATCGTAACTTGCCGCACAACCTACTTCACCTGTCCCTGCCGATCGTGGTAAATTGCGGGGTTTCCTCAGTACACCTCTCGTTTAGTGGGCGGGATTTCGGTAAATATACTAAATTTGTATTAAGTTTTTGGTCTTTGATAAAAGAAATGTTTATTCTGTTTCTTAAATTTATATTTGACTTAAAGGTACATACGAACCGAGTATCGGTGGAGTGTGGATTCCCAGTAACACATGTAAACCACTTCTACTAGATTCTTATATGACTCAAATAAAATGGATATGCCAAGGGATAAACTAAATAGATCACTCGATCAGCCATAAAAGACCTTTAGACTGCTCCTTTTTTTAAATTTATGGTTGTAAATTTAACCTACTTCCGTGACCTACATGTTGTACTTTCCTGCCCCATTGACATACATGTACAGCTTAGAATGCCAGCAGAAAAATCTGTTCAAACATCATTTTCGGGTAAAATTAAACAATGCCTTTTAGTAATTCTCTTAGTTATACTACTTGAAACTATATGCTGGCATTTGGTTGGTTTTTGTGACAAAAAATTGACTTTGTATGCATCTTTAATATGGGTCTATAAAGTTGCATTTTAGCACCCAAATCTGCGCGTCGCATGATTTGTATCACATGACTTTTTTGAACTTCCACAGTTCAAGGTAAAAAAATGCTGTCGTAGCAAGTTATGGAATATTATTGCTTTACGTGAAAATTGAGGTTAGTCACTAACTTTTTTAGGTGAATTAATGTAATTATAAGTTCGGAAAGTGAATGAGATGTGCACTCCTATTGGAGGTGCCTCAGGGGAGAAATTTTGCACTGTTTTTTCACAACTTTTCGGATTTTCTGTCGAGACTTCTTAAAGGTACATACGAACCGAGCATCGGTGGAGCGTGGATTCCCAGTAACACATGTAAACCACTTCTACTAGATTCTTATATGACTCAAATAAATTCGACATGCCAAGGGATAAACTGAATAGATCACTCAATCAGCCATAAAAGACCTTTAGACTGCTCCTTTCTTTAAATTTATGGTTGTAAATTTAACCTACATTCGTGACCTACTTTCCTGCCCCATTGACATACAGCTTAGAATGCCAGCAGAAAAATCCGTTCAAACATCCTTTTTGGGTAAAATTAAACAATGCCTTTTGGTAATTCTCTTAGTTATACTACTTGAAACCATATGCTGGCATTTGGTTGGTTTTTGTGACAAAAAATTGACTTTGTATGCATCTTTAATCAGAGGGTGTGCGGAAAATTCCCTTCAAAATCGAAAACCTGGCTATATTTTATTAATTTTAAGCCGATTTCGTATTTGGAAACAATTTCCTCGCAATATAGTCCCTCGCTGTACAAAAGCATTTTCGGACACGTAAAATTTTCAGTTTTCTGGATTCGGAGAGTAATAACTGTAACTGTACAGTGCGTTGACAAAAGCTTACAGTTTTTCAATAGACGGATTACTCTTCATTTAGTCTCTAAAATATGGAAAGTCAATTCATTGTAGTTTTTTCGCAGTCTATTTATTTCAGACGTACGCATTTTTCGTCGCGGCGCTGTTTTGGCGCTATTTCGTGACGGGGACGTAGCAAAAAATCTATGACATTTCAAATCACACCTAAATCCTGACAGTATGTGTCCTAACAATAAAAACACTAGAAATCCGCGGACACGGACATGACGATTCGGTACCGAAATTATGCCCTGAATCCAGTCCAGTTTGTTCACTTCAAGTATTTGGTTGTTGCTAAATTCAGTTATTGATTACTTTTATCAATAGCGACTATTCAAATAAATTAATTTGACAATTTATGCAACAATTTTTCGATGTTTTACAAGGAATTAGATGAGGTATGAGAACACAAAAACATTATCTTGTTAATTGAGAAACTGGTTTATTTAGGTGGCAGTCAGAATCATTGATTAAAGGAACGACATACCTCAATAAGAAAGCCGAGCACATGCTTGTATAAGGGCCGGGGGGGGGGGGGGGGGGAACTTGAAAAAAA